CACTCCAGTGTCCAGGGACAGTGTGTGGGGTACACTCCAGTGTCCAGGGACAGTGTGTGGGGTACACTCCAGTGTCCAGGGACAGTGTGTGGGGTACACTCCAGTGTCCAGGGACAGTGTGTGGGGTACACTCCAGTGTCCAGGGACAGTGTGTGGGGTACACTCCAGTGTCCAGGGACAGTGTGTGTGGTACACCCCAGTGTCCAGGGACAGTGTGTGGGTACACTCCAGTGTCCAGGGACAGTGTGTGTGGTACACCCCAGTGTCCAGGGACAGTGTGTGGGGTACACTCCAGTGTCCAGGGACAGTGTGTGGGGTACACTCCAGTGTCCAGGGACAGTGGGTGGGGTACACGCCAGTGTCCAGGGACAGTGTGTGTGGGGTACACTCCAGTGTCCAGGGACAGTGTGTGGGGTACACTCCAGTGTCCAGGGACAGTGTGTGTGGTACACCCCAGTGTCCAGGGACAGTGTGTGTGGTACACTCCAGTGTCCAGGGACAGTGTGTGGGGTACACTCCAGTGTCCAGGGACAGTGTGTGGGGTACACTCCAGTGTCCAGGGACAGTGTGTGGGGTACACTCCAGTGTCCAGGGACAGTGTGTGGGGTACACTCCAGTGTCCAGGGACAGTGTGTGGGGTACACTCCAGTGTCCAGGGACAGTGTGTGGGGTACACTCCAGTGTCCAGGGACAGTGTGTGGGGTACACTCCAGTGTCCAGGGACAGTGTGTGGGGTACACTCCAGTGTCCAGGGACAGTGTGTGGGGTACACTCCAGTGTCCAGGGACAGTGTGTGGGGTACACTCCAGTGTCCAGGGACAGTGTGTGTGGTACACTCCAGTGTCCAGGGACAGTGTGTGGGGTACACTCCAGTGTCCAGGGACAGTGTGTGGGGTACACTCCAGTGTCCAGGGACAGTGTGTGGGGTACACTCCAGTGTTCAGGGACAGTGTGTGGGGTACACTCCAGTGTCCAGGGACAGTGTGTGTGGTACACTCTAGTGTCCAGGGACAGTGTGTGTGGTACACTCCAGTGTCCAGGGACAGTGTGTGGGGTACACTCCAGTGTCCAGGGACAGTGTGTGGGGTACACTCCAGTGTTCAGGGACAGTGTGTGGGGTACACTCCAGTGTCCAGGGACAGTGTGTGTGGTACACTCCAGTGTCCAGGGACAGTGTGTGTGGTACACTCCAGTGTCCAGGGACAGTGTGTGGGGTACACTCCAGTGTCCAGGGACAGTGTGTGGGGTACACTCCAGTGTCCAGGGACAGTGTGTGTGGTACACTCCAGTGTCCAGGGACAGTGTGTGTGGTACACTCCAGTGTCCAGGGACAGTGTGTGTGGTACACTCCAGTGTCCAGGGACAGTGTGTGGGGTACACTCCAGTGTCCAGGGACAGTGTGTGGGGTACACTCCAGTGTCCAGGGACAGTGTGTGGGGTACACTCCAGTGTCCAGGGACAGTGTGTGGGGTACACTCCAGTGTCCAGGGACAGTGTGTGGGGTACACTCCAGTGTCCAGGGACAGTGTGTGGGGTACACTCCAGTGTCCAGGGACAGTGTGTGTGGTACACTCCAGTGTCCAGGGACAGTGTGTGTGGTACACTCCAGTGTCCAGGGACAGTGTGTGGGGTACACTCCAGTGTCAGGGACAGGGACAGTGTGTGGGGTACACTCCAGTGTCCAGGGACAGTGTGTGGGGTACACTCCAGTGTCCAGGGACAGTGTGTGGGGTACACTCCAGTGTCCAGGGACAGTGTGTGGGGTACACTCCAGTGTCCAGGGACAGTGTGTGGGGTACACTCCAGTGTCCAGGGACAGTGTGTGGGGTACACTCCAGTGTCCAGGGACAGTGTGTGGGGTACACTCCAGTGTCCAGGGACAGTGTGTGGGGTACACTCCAGTGTCCAGGGACAGTGTGTGGGGTACACTCCAGTGTCCAGGGACAGTGTGTGGGGTACACTCTAGTGTCCAGGGACAGTGTGTGGGGTACACTCCAGTGTCCAGGGACAGTGTGTGTGGTACACTCCAGTGTCCAGGGACAGTGTGTGGGGTACACGCCAGTGTCCAGGGACAGTGTGTGTGGTACACTCCAGTGTCCAGGGACAGTGTGTGGGGTACACTCCAGTGTCCAGGGACAGTGTGTGTGGTACACTCCAGTGTCCAGGGACAGTGTGTGGGGTACACCCCAGTGTCCAGGGACAGTGTGTGGGGTACACTCCAGTGTCCAGGGACAGTGTGTGGGGTACACTCCAGTGTCCAGGGACAGTGTGTGGGGTACACTCCAGTGTCCAGGGACAGTGTGTGGGGTACACTTCAGTGTCCAGGGACAGTGTGTGTGGTACACCCCAGTGTCCAGGGACAGTGTGTGGGTACACTCCAGTGTCCAGGGACAGTGTGTGTGGTACACCCCAGTGTCCAGGGACAGTGTGTGTGGTACACTCCAGTGTCCCAGGGACAGTGTGTGGGGTACACTCCAGTGTCCAGGGACAGTGTGTGGGGTACACTCCAGTGTCCAGGGACAGTGTGTGGGGTACACTCCAGTGTCCAGGGACAGTGTGTGGGGTACACTCCAGTGTCCAGGGACAGTGTGTGGGGTACACTCCAGTGTCCAGGGACAGTGTGTGTACACTCCAGGTACACAGTGTGTGGGGTACACTCCAGTGTCCAGGGACAGTGTGTGGGGTACACTCCAGTGTCCAGGGACAGTGTGTGGGGTACACTCCAGTGTCCAGGGACAGTGTGTGGGGTACACTCCAGTGTCCAGGGACAGTGTGTGGGGTACACTCCAGTGTCCAGGGACAGTGTGTGGGGTACACTCCAGTGTCCAGGGACAGTGTGTGGGGTACACTCCAGTGTCCAGGGACAGTGTGTGGGGTACACTCCAGTGTCCAGGGACAGTGTGTGGGGTACACTCCAGTGTCCAGGGACAGTGTGTGGGGTACACTCCAGTGTCCAGGGACAGTGTGTGGGGTACACTCCAGTGTCCAGGGACAGTGTGTGGGGTACACTCCAGTGTCCAGGGACAGTGTGTGGGGTACACTCCAGTGTCCAGGGACAGTGTGTGTGGTACACTCAGGGACAGTGTCCAGGGACAGTGTGTGTGGTACACTCCAGTGTCCAGGGACAGTGTGTGGGGTACACTCCAGTGTCCAGGGACAGTGTGTGGGGTACACTCCAGTGTTCAGGGACAGTGTGTGGGGTACACTCCAGTGTCCAGGGACAGTGTGTGTGGTACACTCCAGTGTCCAGGGACAGTGTGTGTGGTACACTCCAGTGTTCAGGGACAGTGTGTGGGGTACACTCCAGTGTCCAGGGACAGTGTGTGGGGTACACTCCAGTGTCCAGGGACAGTGTGTGTGGTACACTCCAGTGTCCAGGGACAGTGTGTGTGGTACACTCCAGTGTCCAGGGACAGTGTGTGTGGTACACTCCAGTGTTCAGGGACAGTGTGTGGGGTACACTCCAGTGTCCAGGGACAGTGTGTGGGGTACACTCCAGTGTCCAGGGACAGTGTGTGGGGTACACTCCAGTGTCCAGGGACAGTGTGTGGGGTACACTCCAGTGTCCAGGGACAGTGTGTGGGGTACACTCCAGTGTCCAGGGACAGTGTGTGGGGTACACTCCAGTGTCCAGGGACAGTGTGTGTGGTACACTCCAGTGTCCAGGGACAGTGTGTGTGGTACACTCCAGTGTCCAGGGACAGTGTGTGTGGTACACTCCAGTGTTCAGGGACAGTGTGTGGGGTACACTCCAGTGTCCAGGGACAGTGTGTGGGGTACACTCCAGTGTCCAGGGACAGTGTGTGGGGTACACTCCAGTGTCCAGGGACAGTGTGTGTGGTACACCCCAGTGTTCAGGGACAGTGTGTGTGGTACACTCCAGTGTTCAGGGACAGTGTGTGTGGTACACTCCAGTGTCCAGGGACAGTGTGTGGGGTACACTCCAGTGTCCAGGGACAGTGTGTGGGGTACACTCCAGTGTCCAGGGACAGTGTGTGGGGTACACTCCAGTGTCCAGGGACAGTGTGTGTGGTACACCCCAGTGTTCAGGGACAGTGTGTGTGGTACACTCCAGTGTTCAGGGACAGTGTGTGGGGTACACTCCAGTGTCCAGGGACAGTGTGTGTGGTACACTCCAGTGTTCAGGGACAGTGTGTGTGGTACACTCCAGTGTCCAGGGACAGTGTGTGTGGTACACTCCAGTGTCCAGGGACAGTGTGTGGTACACTCCAGTGTCCAGGGACAGTGTGTGGTACACTCCGGAAGTTACCGTACTAAACAAGGTGACCAGCACCATGTGTGTTTCAGGTAGCTGATGGGGATGAGGCACAGAGAAGTGCTGTGTTCACGTAGTGTCCTGTACTTATGTTATTTCTCTGCATTCTTCCACTAATTTGTTCATGTAGTTTCCTGGACTTAAGTTATCTTTCTGTATTCTTCTACTAATTTGTTGCTATCTTATTATGCAGCATCTAAATCTGGCAGGAAACCGGTTGATTATGTATTTGTTTCGTTATAACCGAGGATTCGGGAAGATTAAAAAGACTTAAGAATAAACTGGCTTTATCTGTGGGTTGTGATATCTTTGGGCTTAAAATTTTGTTTCGAGTCAGTTTTAAATGTTACAAAATTGTTCTTATTTGTATGTAAATATTCAAGGGACAGTTTGTGAGCAAACATTTTAAACTGACGTTCAGAGACATTGTTAGTCACTATGTCTTGTGGACGACGCATTGGAGCAGAACACTGTTGTTGAATGAGTGGATGAGTGATCAACTTTTGTCTGGTGGAAGAAGCAAGAGAATAGAACACTACTGCTGTATGAGTGGATGAATGATCAACATGTGTCTGGTGGACGACTCAGTGGTGTAAACCACTGCTGTTGTATTAGTATCTGAGGAACACCCTCGGACACTCATATGTCTTGAGTTCCAGCGACGTCCTGGGCACGGGCGTTGGTCTGCCTCCTCGGCTCGTCCGATGACCAGGCCTCACGTCACCTGCTGATTGCTTGCCGCTCGCCCCTTCATCCAATCGCTTCTCTTGTTGTATTTCTGCATGTTAGTGTTTTTTCCTGCCTTTTCCCCGCCCATGGCGGAAAATGCTCTTCTGCGGCCAAACACAGATGCCATATTTGAGATGAGGCTTCCCCTCCGAATTCACCAAAAACAGAAAGTATGACAAAATCGTGCAAATATTCTCTGGGCCGACTACCACATTTGTAGGACATAAAGGACTCTTGATTGGCCTGAATTAGACGTTGATCATAACAGTATTCACCTTGTTGTGCTTGTGGGGGTGAAATTCGACTCTGGTCCTGCCTCTCAACCGTCAATCTACTGGTGTACAGGTTCCTGAGCTTATTGAAATCTATCATATCTATATGTGAAACTGTGTATTACGTCTGCCTCCACCACATCACTTCCTAAGGAATTCCAGTTATTAACTACTCTGACACTGAAAAATTTCTTACTAATGCCTCTGTGGCTCATTTGGGTACTCAGTTGAAACCCGTGTCCCCCCTTGTGCGAGTTTCTTCCATTTTAAATAACCTGTCCTTATCTACCCTGTCAAGTCCCAAGTGAATATTGTATGTAGTGATTATGTCTCCCCGAACTCTTCTGTCTTACAATGGCGTGAGATACAATTCACACTGCATTTCCTCAAAATGTTTGCTTCTTAGCTCTGGGACTAATTTAATGGCATAATTTGGGCCTTCTCCAGCTTCATCTTGTGCTTCACTCCATGCTGGAGCCGCATACTCAAGGATTGGTCTTACATATGTAGAATACAAGGTTTTAAATGACTCCATACAATAGTTTCTAAAGGTAGTTCTGATGTTAGTCAGCCTCGCATACGCTGCTGACTATATTCTTTTGATATGGGCTTCAGGAGGCAGGTTCGGCGTGAAATAAACTCCTAGATCTTTCTCTGTCTGTTTCGTGGAGAACTTTGTCTTCCATTCGGTACCCCATGTCTGCCCACCTCTTCTCTTCCCCTTGTTTCATTACCTTACATTTTCTTGGGTTGAACTTGTAGAATCTATAGCTGGATCTACAGTAGAACTTCATCTTGTAGACTCTTACTATCTTCTTCGGTCTTACTCCTCCTCATAATACTTGGATCATCAGAAAACTTTGAGAGGAACGAGTCTATTCTCATTTACATATATCTGAAACAAGATAGGTCCAAGACCTGAACCCTGTGCGACTCCTCTGCTAACGCCTCACCACTCAGAGACCTCACACCTCTCAGTGTCTTCTGTTGCTTAGGTACTCTCTTATCTAATGGAGCACCTTCCCTTTTACTCCTGACTTCATCTCCAGCTTATCCATTAGTCTCCTATGGGGTTCTGTGTCAAAGGCTTTCTGGTAATCTAAAAATATGCAACTGCCCACCCTTTCCTATCTTGCGTGATTTTGCCACCTGGTTGTAGAACTCAATTAATCTTATGAGGCAAGATTTGCCATCCCAGAACCTATGTTGATGTTGTGTTACAAAGTTCTTTCGCTCCAGATGTTCTACTAGTTTTTTCGCACAATCTTCTCCATCACCTTGCATGGTATGCAAGTTAGGGACACTGGCCTGTATATCAGTGCCTCGTGTCTTTTTCCCCCTCTTGTATATCGGGGACTACATTAGCCGTCTTTCAAGTTTTTGTCAGTTTTCCTGTTACCAGTGATTTATTATATACCATTGAGAGTGGTGGGCATAGTACCTCTGTCTGGGCCTATAGTCTTTGTCCCATCCTATTAAAACAAGTGCCTTCCCCACTGGTGACCTCAAACTCCTCCAGCAGGGCCTGGTTAGATATTCCTTGTATTATCTCAGGAAATTCTCCTTGCTTTAATGTGATTACCTCCTGGAATTTCCTTTTGAGTTTCTCACACACTTCCGTGTCATTTGTAGTCTGCTCCTATTCTTAGTTTCATTACTTAATCCTTCACTATTGATGTGGCTGTTGAGCAATTTAGTTTGAGTCTTTGCCTTACTTGCAATTTCCTTTTTGTACTGTCTTTCTGCCTCTCATCTCATCGTGAGGTATCATTCCTGGCCCTCTTGTATCTCACTCTGCTCTCTGTTGTCCTGTTAGTTTCTCCATGCCCTTGTACTTAGTTGTTGCTACCTTACATCCCTGATTAAACCATGGATTCTTCTTTTGCATTTCGTTTTTTTCCTTTTGGACTGGGACAAACTTGTCTGCTACCTCCTTACATTTCTGTGTGATGTAGTCCATCATGTCTTGGGCCTTCATTTTCCTGAGCTCTATTTCCCAGAGGTAGGAAATTCCTTAACTCCTCATAGTTTCCCTTTCGGAATCCCAGGCTTTTGTTTTCTGGTCCCTTCCTTGAGTACATTAACCCAACTGGCATGAGATGCTCAAACATCAGTACACTGTGATCGCTCATTCCCACGGCGGCCTCACAGTGTATTTCCCTTATGTTGGAAATGTGTGTAGTGGAAGATGCAGGAGAGTAGGACCCTGCAGCTGTGCGAGTGGATTAATGATCAACAGTATCAGAGGGAATGTAAAGACGCGTGTAAACCGGGGGGGGGGAGAGTAACTCATACAGAATGGGGAAGAGTAAAGGCCTGGGGTGGTGCCACGTGTGGCTGGGGGGAACAGTGAGGTCCTGGGGGTGACTCGTGTGGCTGGGAGGGAACAGTGAGGTCCTGGGGGTGACTCCTGTGGCTGGGAGGAACAGTGAGGTCCTGGGGGTGACTCCTGTGGCTGGGAGGAACAGTGAGGTCCTGGGGGTGACTCCTGTGGCTGGGAGGAACAGTGAGGTCCTCGGGGTGACTCCTGTGGCTGGGAGGGAACAGTGAGGTCCTGGGGGTGACTCCTGTGGCTGGGAGGAACAGTGAGGTCCTGGGGGTGACTCCTGTAGATGGGAGGAACAGTGAGGTCCTGGGGGTGACTCCTGTGGCTGGGAGGAACAGTGAGGTCCTGGGGGTGACTCCTGTGGCTGGGGGGAACAGTGAGGTCCTGGGGGTGGCTCGTGTGGCTGGGAGGAACAGTGAGGTCCTGGGGGTGACTCCTGTGGCTGGGGGGAACAGTGAGGTCCTGGGGGTGACTCCTGTGGCTGGGAGGAACAGTGAGGTCCTGGGGGTGACTCCTGTGGCTGGGGGGAACAGTGAGGTCCTGGGGGTGACTCGTGTGGCTGGGAGGGAACAGTGAGGTCCTGGGGGTGACTCCTGTGGCTGGGAGGAACAGTGAGGTCCTGGGGGTGACTCCTGTGGCTGGGAGGAACAGTGAGGTCCTGGGGGTGACTCCTGTGGCTGGGGGGAACAGTGAGGTCCTGGGGGTGGCTCGTGTGGCTGGGAGGAACAGTGAGGTCCTGGGGGTGACTCCTGTGGCTGGGGGGAACAGTGAGGTCCTGGGGGTGACTCGTGTGGCTGGGAGGGAACAGTGAGGTCCTGGGGGTGACTCCTGTGGCTGGGAGGAACAGTGAGGTCCTGGGGGTGACTCCTGTGGCTGGGAGGAACAGTGAGGTCCTGGGGGTGACTCCTGTGGCTGGGGGGAACAGTGAGGTCCTGGGGGTGGCTCGTGTGGCTGGGAGGAACAGTGAGGTCCTGGGGGTGACTCCTGTGGCTGGGAGGAACAGTGAGGTCCTGGGGTGACTCCTGTGGCTGGGAGGAACAGTGAGGTCCTGGGGGTGACTCCTGTGGCTGGGAGGAACAGTGAGGTCCTGGGGGTGGCTCGTGTGGCTGGGAGGAACAGTGAGGTCCTGGGGGTGACTCGTGTGGCTGGGGGAACAGTGAGGTCCTGGGGGTGACTCGTGTGGCTGGGGGAACAGTGAGGTTCTGGGGTGATGCCACGTGTGGCTGGGGGGAACAGTGAGGTCCTGGGGTGATGCCACGTGTGGCTGGGGGGAACAGTGAGGTCCTGGGGGTGACTCGTGTGGCTGGGGGGAACAGTGAGGTTCTGGGGTGGTGCCACGTGTGACTGGGGGGAACAGTGAGGTTCTGGGGTGATGCCACGTGTGGCTGGGGGGAACAGTGAGGTTCTGGGGTGATGCCACGTGTGGCTGGGGGGAACAGTGAGGTCCTGGGGTGATGCCACGTGTGGCTGGGGGGAACAGTGAGGTTCTGGGGTGGTGCCACGTGTGGCTGGGGGGAACAGTGAGGTTCTGGGGTGGTGCCACGTGTGGCTTGGGGGAACAGTGAGGTTCTGGGGTGGTGCCACGTGTGGCTGGGAGGAACAGTGAGGTTCTGGGGTGGTGCCACGTGTGGCTGGGGGGAACAGTGAGGTTCTGGGGTGATGCCACGTGTGGCTGGGGGGAACAGTGAGGGCCTGGGGGTGATTCGTGTGGCTGGGAGGAAGGGTGAGGGCCTGGGGGGGGGGGTGACACAAAGCCGTTCCCAGCACTCTGGTGTGTGCGAGACCATAGTCTCCACTCCAGCACAGGTACACGGTGAACTAACTGAACATGTCGTGAACACGGACTTAACTGCACTTGACACTTGCAGTAATCAAATACGTCACTAAGACACAAATAACTCACATATATATACATTAGATATGAGGTGTATATGCAAATTAGATGCGGAAATGACAGGTGTGCAGAGCAGTATCACCCAGACTGCTGCTCCGACACCTGTCCTCGTCTCCTTGACTGTTTCATCTCTCACCTGTGGCGGTGTTCAAGAAGATAAGTGTAAGTCGGGCGGCTGATAAAACACGAGAATCCAAATATAATGATAACCTGGGTAGAGAAATTACTCACAGCAGGCCGGCCTGGTATCACTCACTCCTCCCTCACACAACACTGGCTGGGACACTCTAGTGTCTGTGAGCACTGTAGACCTTCGACGACTACTCTGCACTACCGCGTGTGTGACATGCAAGTTTGTCACCTGTAAGAGGGGACAACACCACCTAGCTTAATTAAAATGTGTGACAGAAAGTGCACACCGCCATTTTTACTTCTCTCCTGAGTGCACATAAGAGAGTGCACCAAGGCTTAGTTCTTAGAATGAACTGTAGGGGTACTTAGTAGGGTCTCTATGGGCAGTGTATGTTACCAGCTGTCAGATAATACTATGTTGGTCGGGGTATCATCTATATAAATAAAAATGGAATTTTTCGTTTGTTCAGAATCGCTAATCTCCAAAAATTCTTCACCGATTG